TGAGGAAAGGGCTGTGTCCTGCCAGATCACTGCTTTGGTACGTTACCCTGTACCATGAGGTCTGTTCTTTTCTCCAGGTGTATGCAATCTGGTGCAGCCTTCTTTCCTGTTGCTCTTTCAGGATTGGTTGTATTAATTATATTTTTATATTATATGTGGTTTTAGGAGGAGGTCTCTGTCTCAACCTCTCACACCACCATATTTAATCTAATTAATACTTTTAAATAAGTTAAAAATAGCAGCATATTCTATGAAGTATAAAATGCTAAGTATTTCATACCACTAGTGATTCTTATATTTTCCTGTGCTTTGGAAAAATATTACACTTTTACTGTGCTCTAAGGTTTTAACTGAGCTTTACTGAAGTATAATTTATACAATAAAATGTACCCATTGAAGTGTGCATTTGACGAGTTTTGAAAAATATGTGTCTGTATTTTATATGGTACATAACAGTAATGCCAGTTAAAATATAAAGCATTTACTGCATCCCTAAAAGTTAGCTCTTTGCATTTAATCTCTTTTCCACCTCTGGTTCTAAACAACCTGATCTGCTTTCTGATATTCTAGATAAGGTATCCCTTTTCTAGAATTTCATATAAATGGAATTAAACCATATACTTTTATGTTTCTGGAGTTTTTTTGTTTAGCATGTTTTTGAGATTCATCAAAATTGTTGTAAGCATAGGCAGTTTATTCCTATTTATTTCTGGGTAGTATTACATTATATAGTTATACCACAATTTGTCTACAGTCCTCTTGATTACCATCGGGGTTTTTTTAATTTTGGGTCCTTATGAGAACATTATTCTATGAGCTTGTACATGTTGTGGATTAATGTTTTCATTTCTCATAGGTAAATCTAAATATTGGTGATCATATGTGTCTATTTAACATTTTTAATTTTATCAAATGTATGAATATAAATAAATGTAAAGAATTTTGGGAATTATATAAATGTATATTTAACATTATAAGTGACTACTAAACTATTTTTCAGTGTATTGTTTCATTTTGTCATTTCCCTCAGCAGCATAGGATGTTTCAAGTGCTTTAAATCCTCACCAGTACTTGGTTTTGTCAGTCTTTAATTTTAGCCATTCTAGTGGGTGTGTAGTGGTATATTATTTTGATTTAACTTGTATTTTCCTGATTACTAATGCTGAGCATCATTTCTTGAGCTTATTGGCCATTGTGCCATCTTTTGTGAAATGTCTTCAATTCTTTGCCAATTTTAAAAGTTGGGTGTCTTCTTATTTTACATATATATGTGTGCATAAGAACGCACATACAACACACACACACATATTCTGGATACAGATACTTTTTAAAATTTATACATTGCAAGCCTACATATTCATGTTATTATCAGTGTCCTTTAAGGAGCAGATGTGTTTCATTTAGTGAGTGTTCAGTTTATCCCTTTTTCTTTTTATGTTTCATGTTTACTGTAATCTTGTCTGAGAAATTTTTGCTTACTTCAAGGTTATTAATATTTCTCTCAATATTTCATGCATGTAGTCTGCTACCTATCAGATAATGAAGCTGAATAAAAGCAAGCCGTATTGAGAAAATGAGAGGGAGAAAGTATACATCTCTCCTACTCTAAAGCTAGTTTAGCTACCTTAAAACTATGTCTAACCCTTCTAGGGTTTCCACTCAATGTCCAAGGTGTTGTTCATTAAGGTCTTACTGTTGTGGCTAATTAGAACTTCATTGTCTCCCAGCTAATTATGATCTTTGGAATTGTTCTGCTTACAGTTCTTTGTGGAATTTCACCCTATATGCATGCATAGGTTTATATCCAGCAACTCCCTCATGGGGTCTCCTGTGCAGATTTCCAAGCTCTGTTTCTGTGTAGCTTCTTCTTATGTGGCACTCTGTGATAGACTCTAGTTGCTTCAGCCTTCCCTAACTCCAGTCTCTCTCCAACTCGTAATAACACCTTGCTGTCTTTGGGTTCAACCTTCCTGCACTGCTTTCTGCAAACTACCTTTTAAGTCCAGGGAGAGGAAATCCTGGGGCAAAGTACCTGTAAAACTCAAATCAGTCAAAGGAAGAAATATAGTTTAAAATCCGTTTAATGCTTACAAACTGCAGTCTGGGGCCATCTTTCTCTCTTCCAGCTGAAGCAAGCAAGGACCTCCCACTAACCTCTCAGGTTCATATAAGCCCTTGGTTGCTCCGGTAATTTACCCACTGATATGGAGATGAACTTCTCTCTACCCCTGAGGATATGCAAATGCACTAAAGCCAGGTGAGATATTCTGGAACTATTACAATTTTACCCACATACCTCCAGGCAGAAACCCTATTAGATTAAGGGTTCATGTGATTAGTTTCCCTTCTTGTCCAGTATCTAAACTTCTTTTTCACTTATTTTGTTCAGTGTTGTAGTTGTTTACAAAAATAAAGCAGGTCTGGAATCAGGTATCCATTATGATAGGAACTGGTCTTTATAAAGTTGTTTCCATCTCTTGGCTATTGTGAATTCCAGGGCCAGATAAAATCAACCTTGGCTTGGAATGGGTCAGCAGTTTGGATGTACTGATTGCATGTGTACTACCCAGAATCCAACTGGTGGGAGGATGTACACAATTTGTACAGTGTAGTAACCACTGCTGTTGCACTGTGGTTTAATTTATAATTGTCTCCACTTCCTCATTCCCTAGTACTTAGAAAAAATGGAATAACAAAGTTTTTCACTTGTCCAAATATCTCTCAGTTGTTAATCTGGAAATTGGATGCTTGTCTTGCTTCTCCTTCATTGACTTCCCCCTTTATCTTCCTCTGAAAATAATTTTGACAATACTACACATATACTATACAAACTAGAATTATTGTAATTAATTCATTTAATTGTAGATTTATCAAATATATATCATGTATTTCTAGTTTTAAATATATACTTACATGTATTAAAATATATATTTATATTTATCAAGATGTGTATGTGTAGTGTAATCACATCATTATACCTGAGCATTTTAATCACTTCTATTTCTCTAATATTAAAATAGTATATTTAAGTTAATTTTTAATGTGATTTTGGACTATTTTCTTGGGATAAATTCTTAAAAGTAGGATGACTGGCATAAAGTATATTAACACTTTTGTGAATTTTTGATATATATTGACAAATTGTTTTTCCCAATCTTCTTAACAAATTAAATTTCCAGAACCTGTACATACATATGCTCTCATAAAAAATGTTTTGAGATTATATGGTTATTTTAGAAAAAAATTATAGTTCTGAAAAACTGTAAAAGATAAAAAGCAGCCATTGTGTTTCTGCCTAACAATGACTACTGCTATTGATTTGGCTTAGTTATTACATTTTCTGCCCTATTCCTTTCTAGGTAGGATGGATGGATATATGGATAGTTAGATAGACATAATGCACATGTGTAATGAAAACGTCATATATATTTAAGGTGTTTTAAATTTTTGTGGGATTATACATAACCCTATGATTACTGTCTTTACCTTTAATACAGATTTTTTATTATAGAACTGTAAATCCTAGAAAGAAAATGTAGGAATAAAAAGAATTTTTAAGATCATGTGTGTATTGTATACATATACACATATATTGAATTTCAAAAGGATGCTGCATCAACTTACACTCTCAGCATCCATGTATGTAAATGAATATTGGTTACATTTACCTTCTCAAATATTAAGTATTAAAAGGATTTTTCATTTCTTCAATATGATGGGAAGAAAATGAAACCTAATTGTTTTGATGTATATTAATTTGATCACTTGTCAGTAAAATACAGTTTTTCTAATCCTTACTATTCATTTTATTTATATTATACTGTAATAAGAAGATAATACTTCTTATTGTCCTGTTTTTTTCTGTATAATTTCTGATAAGGCTGATCAATTTTTCTGTTTTTATTGGTGTTCATAACCCTGCCTTTATTAACATATTAATAATTTCAGCCACACCATTACTATTTTGTACAGATAAAAAAATATTAATTTTTAGCCAACCACATTTATTTCTACATTTCATTATAAATTTTGAATATTTCTAGTTAGAAAAGTCTTTTTACGTATCAACAAATTACTTTAAACATTGTGTTGTTTAGTAGGTTATGTTGAAGTGCTAACAAAATGAAATCTTCCCCACCCTTGAAGTCAATTCTGTTCTTTGCAACAGCAACAGAAATCAAATAAAATACTATCCCAATATTCAGCTTGACTGATTTTTTTAATTTTAGAGAATAAAAGACTGTGCCTTGAGTTCTCTCAGCTAAGCAATCTCATCTAAGGAATCCTTTGATTCCTTCAGAGATTTGTTTGTCCCCAAAATGAAGACGTTTCTGATGATGTATATAAGGAGCAACCTAAACTGTGCTGAGCCATTGTTTGAGATGAATAACTCACTTAAGGTTAATTTCAACACAAACAGGAAAACAGTCTGGCTTTTTCATGGATACAGACCAATGGGCTCCACTCCATCATGGCTTCAGAACTTTCTGAGGATTCTGTTGAATCATGATGATATGAATATAATTATAGTAGACTGGAACTGGGGTGCTACAACTTTTTTTTTACAATAGAGCAGTTAAGAACACCAGAAAGGTTGCTGTGAGTTTGAGTAGGTACATTCAGAACCTCTTGATAAGTGGAATTTTATCATATGTGTTATACAATGTAGTGTGTTATGCAGTACCACAAGTGGTAATAAAATAAATAACATTTTCCCATAAACATTAAGAATTTCTGCTCTGATATGCTAACATGTGCATTCTTTCTTTATGTAAATGGATAATTCTCTACCTACTCATGACGTGTCTAATTTTTAAAATATTATCTTAAAAACTCAGTTATTGTTTTAACTTTAAATTTTTAAGGCTTATTTTGTTTAACTCTTCCAACTTCAGGATAAGGTAGGGATTCTAGTAGACAGACAGGATAAACTAGGTCATCATTAGATTCTTCAGATATCTTTTCTAAGGTATGGCTAATGTGTGTATAGCTAATCAGTATAAATTGATAAAAAGCAGAGGAAAAGAGGTTGAAAAGCAGCATACTTCCACCAACCTTGAAGGTAGGTTTCAGTTCCATTAAGATTTGTCCAGCATTTAGGTCTAGAGTTAGAATGAGTCAGATAAAGTCAGGCCAGTTTAGTTTATCTGTAGTCTGAATGACCTTTGTCAACCCATATGGAGATCATGTTTGTTCTAGAGAGAGGCGGTACTCATTGGTACTCAAGAAAAAGAAGGATGGTATCTGATTTGGGGCACTCTTGAGCTTTAAATCTGCCTTTGAGTTGTGTTGTGCTCACTTCTAAGTAAAGATACTTAAAAATATCTTTTAAAGGTGATTGTTTCTTCTATTGCATAGGTGTTCTCAAGATGAATTTTATCTGCTGAACTTCCAAGCCTCTGCTGAAACTGAGCAAGCATAATAGATCCAAAAAAACAGTTACTGTTAGCAGTTAGCTCTCATACAAGAGGGATTCAAAGACCAAATCCATCTTTTATCAACCGTATGACTATGAACAAGTACTTAGTCTCTCTGCCTCATTTCCTTATTTGTACATTTAGGCTAACAAACCTTCTAACAATATGTATTTAAGTATTCAATGAAATTAAATCTCAACCAGTGCCTGGCATAATCATCATTGAACAAAATCAACTATAATTATTATTTTTACATCTTCAAATCTGGACAAAAATCAAACAATCCTAGAGAGACAGAGGAGATAATTGATTCACTTGTTCTTGTGATAGTCTGTAAATTGCATAATTGATTTTTCCTTATATTTTCCCTTTTCTTTTCTCTAACTAGTAAACATGTACATGGGAAATGTGAATGCTAATGAAAGAAATTTAGGAAAATTTGTAGTATTAGGTATATTTCTAACAGGGCCTTTGCTTGCAAAGTTTTCTTATTGAGGAGAAAGAATGAAAATAGCAGTAGTACTCAAATTGGCAGGGATACTCCCTCAGGTTTCTGGGCGTTGCTCTGAAAAAGTTGAAGAAAATTAAAGCCTGAGGGTAGTTTCTCACTTAGCAGTAAATGCTCCACCAGCCATTGCACTGTCACTGTGTGGAGTGAACCATCACCTGCTTCCTGAGAGTGTGGTAGAAGAAATTCTCCCTCATTTAAAATCCTGATGACCCCCAAGGACTGAGACTCTTAAGAAGTGTTCAAAACTTGGGCTTAGAAAATCAGGCTCCATCATTCTTCACCTTGTGATTTGGGAAAATGACCTAAAAGCCATTGTCCCATTTTATCATCTCTGAAATGAGGGTGATGTTTCATACTGTTCCATTTGTCTAGGGTTTTTGACACTCTGGCTGGATAAACAGGAAGGCAGATTAATATATTTTGGAGATAAACAGATCTGGACTTGAAGTTTTTTTCCCTATAATAATAAGTGTATGTGGCTTTGGGCAACTATCAAACCATATTTACTCAGCATTTATTAGGTGCCAGGAGCATTTTAGACAATAGGATAAGAAAAAATAATTCATAGGAGTATTGTGAGTATTAAATATGAGATTTACAAAGAACTTATCAAGGTAGCTAGTGTAACATAAGTACCCAGTAATGTTTTATTATTATTATAAAATGCTTTACTAATTAAATGTATTGCTTTGCTTATACTATTCTAAATAATAAGTGATAAAGATTTTTCAATTTTTGAATAAAAATTTGTTGGTATTAAAAATGTATAGAGAAAAATCAGATACCTTATGGAAAAAGTTGAATGCAGATATAGTTGTTTTAAAATTATAAAGTCTATTCGCTGTCTCCCAGAAATGGATTAAGCCCAGAAAAATAGTGAATTTTAGAATATTGATGCACAAGGCATAATCTGTGATTTTTCTGAAATGAAAACTGTAACACTGCATTTTCAATTACAGAAGCATGGGGCATCCCTTGATAGTTTTCATTTCATAGGTGTGATCTTAGGGGCTCATATTAGTGGATTTGTTGGAAAGATATTTCAAGGTCAACTTGGAAGAATAACAGGTAAAATATTTTTGATAAAATTAATGTTTAAGCATTAAGTAATAGAAATGTTGCACATTTACTTTTTCAATATTATATGCTAATGCTAGTCTTTTAGTTAGATACTAAAGTTTAGATTTTACTTAGTTTTTAACAAAGCTTAGGGTTACTTATTCAAAAATAAGAAGAAAAAGATTAATTTCTGCTGCTTCATGTAAATTTTAAATATATTCTTCTAACAATCCAGAGGAAAATTTGACCTATTAAATAGAAAACTTTTTTCATGTAGTAACTAAGAATATAACCATGTACCCATGTACTTCGTTTTCGCAAACTTTGATGTCTTTTAATTCTTTCAAAAATTTTAGTTGAATGCCAAGAAAGAATCAGCAGTTGGTATTCAAGCTTGAAGGATTCTGGATCCTAATTCCCCTCATATTTCCTTAACAAAGTTACTGCATCCAGAAAGCTTAGTAACCAAATAATGCTGACATGGATTTTCATGCTCCCTTTAGAAATGGTGGTGATTTTAGAATTATAGGGATAATGTCGTTCCCCAACCAATTTAGCTTTTTGACAATTTTTGAGACCTTTGTGCCTAGAAGATTTATAATAATTTAAAGTGTTAATAAAAGGTAATGGAGTCTGAAGTGAAGGGGAGGAGAGAAGTGTGAACAACTTGTATGGATAGATAGGATCTTTATAGATCTTAATTATACCTTATGTACTTACTTTGATCAGTTTTAATATTATCTCCATTATAAAGATATGCAAACACGTTAACTTAATGTAGGAGGGACAAAAAGTTAGTAATTGCTAAGCCAGATTTACACAAAGGAATATAATGCACAAAGCCCATTTTCTTTCAACCACCATAGTAGCTTGCTTAGAACTGGTGTTAATCCTACTTTATTTCAAGGTGTGTTTATTCATGTATTAGCCCAGTTTGTATGGCTCCATGTACCAAGCAATCATCAGGATTTGAAAAGCCAGCAAATGTGGTGATTCTACATCAGAGTAATTTATAGGAAGAGAGAAGTTTCTTGTCTCTTAATAATGCAGGATTATTGCTTACTTTATTGCCTAATTATTGTCTCATTCAGGCAAGTGGGCTAAATAAACTAGGGGTAATAGAAGGGCCTGAGGTGAATTATATTTTATTAAAAAAAATCTTTAAAAGGTGATTGTTTCTTTTATTACATAGGTGTTCTTAAGGTGTTGAATTTTATTTGTACCCTTTTTTTTTTGGAAACTCTCCAGTAGATCATGAGCCTAGAATTTTTCTTTAGATTTTTAAATGCACCAGAAATAATATCTGTATTCCATAGATCTTTTAGTATATTTTTCTTTTCTTGTGTGTGTGTGTGTGAAAGTTTGGTGACAAGATAATAATAAATATTTGATTACAGTCCAAATTACATTGGACACCTAACAATCATTTTAGACCTATAGAGAGGTCCAAGGTGAGCTAGTAAGGCATGAGGTCAAAACAGGACCACGATGTATTCATAATTTTCTTCTCAGGGGCAGTAGTAGTTATTTATTATTAAAAACAAGCTACTAACCAGTTTATTCCTAAGTATTTCCTAAATAAAAATGCTAAAAGAAACCCTACAATATTTTATTGAGGTATCTTAATGTTGCTTACCACTAGATTGATGACAAACTCTGAAGATTGGTAAAATTTATTATTCAAAAAAGGAAAATACTTATATTAATCCAATTTCATTTATCTTTAGGTTTGTGTTTGGACAGGTTTAAGGTAAAACTGGGTAGGCTTATTATGCTTATAATGTAATAATAATGCAAGTGTATGATCTAATGAACATTGTGGTAGGAATAGACTGATAGTTTCTTTCTTGAATTTCAGGTCTTGACCCTGCTGGGCCAAAATTCTCTGGAAAACCATCAAATGGCAGATTAGATTACGCTGATGCAAAGTTTGTAGATGTCATCCATTCTGATAACAATGGTAAAGCAGAATTTATTGCTTAATTATTTGAAAATAAAAAAAATTTAGATTCTGGGGAAGAGGAGAATAAAAGAGGATAAAAATTAGTGGATAAAGTGCTGATAAGTCCATAGATATATAATAATAATTATTGTATTTCCCACAAGCAATATTTCTTGGAGTTGGTGGTCCCTGTGGTGTCAAATGGCACTTCTTGCCTTCAGCTTTCTGAGAACCATCATGTCATCCTAAAAACTTGAATTTTTGTTAAAAAGAACTTCATCTTGTGTATGTTATTGAGAATTTTATTGATTTGATAACAATTTCCCTCATGCTTAGTGTTCCTGATATATTTAGGTTACCTTGCTTACCACTCATTTTCTTGCTGTGATGTGTATCAACTAGTACTGAGCGCAGCATTTCAGGGACAGACAGAGAATACCTATGCCTAAACGTAGGGAAATAATTTCTCTATTGTTTTTAATTGTCTTCCTGAAAATATCTAACAAACTGTTGGCAGTTTTGACCAGAGTATATTGGACAGACATTTTAAAGGAATAATTTAGATAGCCCTGATTCCCTTTCTAATTTGACCCTGGTGATACTAACATTTAATGAGCACTTCCTGTGCATCAGGAAATGTTTTAAGCTCTTTGTGTGAATTAATGACAGAATTCTCCTAAGTTCTCATGAGATAAGTAAACATTATCATCCCCTTTTTACCAATGGGAAAGCTAGGGTTAAGGTCACAAGGCCAGTAAGGGACAGAGCCAGAATTTGAAATCATATAATTTTATTGGTCTACAATTCACTAGTATGTTGCTCTGATTAACTGATAATTTATGTGTGTTGTGGTTGTAAACATGGGGAGGGTATCATGTTAAGATAGAGGTTGGAGGAAATGGCACTAAGGCTGCTTCTATTTCCCTGTTTCCTCAGGTTTCTTTTATCTTTGGTAAAGGTATATTACTTGATTCTGTATTGCTCAGAATTTACCTTGTGGTGATCCATACTAATGTTTTTGTAAGAAATATAAATGTCATAATTGCCATAGATGACAATTTTTCAACTTCTGTGTCTACATGCCAATGGGATGAACCTATAGTTGGAACAGTTGTGCTCCTTATTTGTAATCTGAGCTCACATACATCTTACAGGGAGTCCGTGCCTAAGGTTTCATAGTTCTAGTATCATACCTCAATCTCTTAAGTCTTCTTTATCTCTAGCCCATTATATCAGCTTCACATTCCCATGCACAGCACATCTACTGCCCAATTACTCTATAGTTCTTCGAATTCTTTCTGAAATCCCAGCTTCAGTTTGTTTATGAACTTTTGATTCAGCTCTTCATACTTCTTATTTTTATTTAAATTTTTTACTTTTCCTAATAACTGTTTTGGATTGTTTTATACTCTCAACATCTTTTGATGGCTCAGCCTATCAGATCTTACCTGCCATTAGATGCTACATTGTTGGCATCTTCAATCTTTTTATGACCATCACTAATGAGGAACACAGATTTTTTGACACCACATATGACACATATATATTATGTGCATTGTCCTGAGACAGACACCTGTCTTAGTGAATTCTTCAATGAGATACTTGGTGTCAGCACATATCTGGCAGAATGCTTTTTCCTTGAATATTAACCAGTGAGTACATCTTCTACTTGCCAGTAATTCCTGTCCTTATTCAGTTGTAATGTAAAATAAGCTATGTGGCCTTTTGAAACTGTGCATTAGGTAATTTGAACAAACATTCTTGAGTATCAGGAAAAATTACCAGTCCAGTATCCAGAAGATAGAAAAATTCAGGGAGGTGAATTGGTAATTTGGAGTCACTTTTCTCATGGAAGGTTTCTTGAAAGAGTATGGGAAGTGCTTTTGAAACTTGATACCATGAGTATGGGAAAAGCATTTACATATGGGGCTTGTAAAAGATCTGAAATTCTTGTTCGGAACTGCAAAGGACAGCATTTATAGGAATAAGCATAAACCTTAAATAAACCAGCCTTTTTATGGTCTGATCCAAACTTCTGGTAATCTGAAGTTGTCCAGAAAAATATCAGTTTCTTGAGTTTTGCTTAAGGACATCTTGGATTGTTGGACTTTCAAGGGGGCCTGGCAGAAGCAAATAATACTTACTTTTGTAGGAAGATACTATCATTTCTGTTCTCAAATTATTTCTATAAATACGTTTAAAAATGAATGTCCAGAATCCAGATAAATATAACCAGAAACACTGAAAGCAAGACAGCACTCATGAGAACCAATATAAACAGTAGTTAAGAGAAACAGACTCGTAGGCCTCTGTAGGAATTATTACCCACTGGCTATAGAAAATGTGCTAATTTTCAAAGAGCTAAAAGATAAGACTGCAAATATCAACAGAATGAGTAAGTATAAATATAAGCTATTTTATTTGATGAAAATAATAAAAGTTTTTAACCTAAAAGGTAAAGACATATTTGACACTTATTGAATGGGTTTAACAAAAATTTGAATTAGATAAAGAGAATGAATGAATTGGAAAATAGGTGAGCAGTCTCCTAAAATGAAGCATAAGGATACAAAAGAGTGGGTAGTACAGAGACGTAAGATACATAGGATTCACAATCAAAAGGTCAATCATACTTCATCCAAGTCCCACAATAAAAGGGAAGAAAAATGGAAAACAGAAGCAATATGCAGAGATAGAATCTCAGACTTCAAAAACTGAGAAAATATAATCAGTCCAGAATCTTGAAATGCCCAATTAACTCCAATCTGAATAAGTGGTATCTTGTGTTCACTCTGAGACACAAGATATTAAAGTTATAGAAAATACCACCATCAAAGCATACAGCATAAAACTAAATAAATAAAAATAATCAGACTTATGATGACTTTCTCAACAGAAACAATGGAAACCAGGAAGTAACAGAATTATATTTTCAGTATGGTGAAAGAAAATAACTGCCAACCTAGTATCCCAGTCTGTTTCAGAAAAAAAATGGAACATACATATATTTTGTTTCAGACAAATCCACACTGAGAGAAATTCTCATCAACAGAAGGAAAATTATCCTTTGATGGTGGCTATTCTGGAAGGAAGAACATTGAAAATGGTAAAATATAGTTAAATCTAAATGGATACGGATGGTATTAAACATTATTTTATATGACAGAATATATAAACAATTAAAATACATTATCAAAATAGCATATTATTTGTGGTGTTAAATAAAGTTAAGGGTTTCTTGTTCCTTTAATTGCGTGGAAATAAGGTAAAAATAAAAGTTAGCATTTGATATTCATAAAGGATTCATGTTAAATCTCTAAGGTATCCAGAAAGAAAAGTAAAGAAATATTTAACTTCCAAGCTAATGGAGGACAAAATGAATTTTTTTTTGTTTCCAAAAGAAGTCAAACAAGGAGAGAGAGAAACATATAGAACAGGTGAAATAAATAGAAATATATAATAAAATGGTAAACCCAACTATACCATTTCATTTAAATAGCCTAAATGATCCAATTAAAACATTATGGTTGACATATTTGGTTAAAAAGGCAAAATCCAATTATGTATGATTTATTAAAGATATATATAAAAGTAAGGAATAAGAATATTTGAAGGTAGAAAGTAATGAACAATGATATGCAAATATCATCTGCCAAAAGGTAGTAAATCTACATTAATTTGGACAAAAATGATTTTATCACAAAAGTAGAAATATGGAGACTTTAAAGTGATAAAACTTCCAACTTATCAAACAGATATAATAAGTGTAGTTTGTATGTAACTAATAAATAACATGGCTTAAATATACATAAGGCAAAATTGGCACTCATATTGCCATAAAAAAGGCAACTGTATTATAGTGGGAGATTTCCATTAGCAAAATTGATTTAATGGACATTTAACAAATATTATATGCCCAAACAGCAGAATTTATATTCTTCTAAAGCATACATGGATAATTTAGGGAAACTGAGTATACACTGAGCCTTAAAAATATTCTCAAAAATTTAAGAGAAGAAACCATAAAGAGAAATATTCTGTATCTTTAATGCAATTAATTTATAAGTAAATAACAGAAATAAAACTAGAAAATCCACATATTTTTGGAAGTTAAAAAATACATCTTTAACTATTGAGGAAAGAATAAATACTAATGGAAATATAACATATTTTGAATTCAGTAGTATTAAATATCTGACATATTAAAATTTGTTGGATTCAGCAAAAGCCATAACTAGAAGTAAATGTCCTGTTTTTAGTACAGATATTTTAAAAGGTGAAAATCAATACTCTAAGCATCTATGTTGAGAAATTTAGAATTAAACATAAAATACACTCATAGGTATAGAGAAAGAAGCTGGTAACATACAAAATAAATTAGGGGGATAGGAAAATATGAGTTAGAACTGTGGAAAAATATGAATTAGAAATATATTAAAAAAGCCAAAAATTTGTACTTTAAAAAAGAGATTATTTAGAATTTATTTATGTCATTTTTACCATCTTTCCATTACATGAAAGGAACATAGAATGCTGAACTTTATATATTACCCTCCAAATTAATAAATCCTTGGGGAGAAAAAGGACAAATGGGGAAGACAACTACACAACTGGTAACAAAAATAAAACAAGAGATAGTGTTATAGATATTAAGGATATTAAGATGATTGTAATAGGATATAATAAACTATGCAAATAATTATAAAACATGATCATCCTATGATATCAAACATGAAAAATAAAAATGCTTATGAAACCATTAACATAAAAAATAGATAATGAATCAGCCCCAGTTGGGATTTATTGTAAAATAGCAATTTTAACATTCAAAAATCAGGTCCTTAATTCTTCTTTTTAAAAGAATAAGGGAGAAAAATTATTTAATCATCCCAATTCAAATCAGAAAAAGCTTTTGAGAAAACTTACATATGACCAAAACTTACAGTGAATTATGAATAGAAAGAAAATTACACAGTCTGATAAAATATATCTATTCAGAATGCTATAAAAAATGTCATGTCAGTGATGGAATTTGGAAGACTTTCTTTTTGAAATTGGGAAGTTAACAAAGATGCCTATTATTGTCATTCTCAGGCAGCATTTTACAGGGTGTTTTACTGCAGTAAGGGGAGAAAAGTCTAAAAGATAAGAGAATGTGAAGTATCATTTTTAAATGGTATGTTTGCATATGTAGATAATTCAAAACAATCTCTAGTAATTAGAATTCATAGGTGAAGTTAGCAAGATTGTGGGGTATAAGTTAATATACAAAATTCAATTCTTTCTAATAACTAGCAGTAAGAGTTAGCAACTAAAATTTGAGAATAACACCTTTTTTTTTTGAAGCAAAGTAAAAGTTTTATTCAAAGTTACTTAAAGAGAGAAACAGTGCAGGTGACCTTAGGGAGGAGAGGTGCACTGTGGATTACAACATTTTTAACAATATAAAATATACCAAGGAATAACTAACCAAATTTTGCAAGACTATGTAGAAAACAACAAAACATCATGGGATATAATTAAAACACCTAAATAAAAAGGAAATAAACCACACATATGAATGTAGGTACTGTATAATTGTCAACTTGCAGGTCAACTTACAGATTCAATGCAATCTTTGTTAAAAGCTCATTTTATATAACCTATAAACTATAAAATTAATATAGAAATGCAAATGGTTAAGTACTGCTAAGGTATTCTTCTAGATATTGAGTCTTATAAAACTATAGTAATGAAAACAGTGTGGCATTAGTATAGAGGTAGCCAAATGAGCCAATAAGTAAAATATAGTCATGAAACTTACTCAATTTATGATAATTTTGGTACTATGGATGGTGTGAAAATGATTCTCTTTTCAATAAATGGTTATGTCAATTGGATACCCACATTGAAATAAAAAGTTCTTTAACACATAAAACACAAAAATTCTTTCCTTAATTGGGCATAAATGTGAAAGGAAACAATAATATAATGAGAAATACAACTTAATTTTAAAAATATCAAGTTTGAGTATATATTTTACAAAGGATAAATTCCAAATGGGCAATAAACAGATGTAAAGTTCTTAAAATCTAAGCAGAAAAATGTAAATTAAAACAACAATGAAATACCATATGCCCATAAGAATGTTTAAAATTATAGTGCCTGATAAGATCATTTATTGGAGAGGATGTAAAACAGACCTACTCATAGGTTGTTGGTAGGGGTTATAAATTAATACTACATCTTTGGCAAAGTATTCAGCATTATTTATTAACATTTAAGATATTCATACTCTATAATACAGCAGTTCCACTCCTAAGTATGTAACCAACAGATATATCTGTATTCAAGAATGTTCATAGCACTAACATATTTAAATATTAAGTCCACCAACAGGAGAATGGATCAATTGTGGTATGTTCATTCAATGAAATGTTATATAGTAACGAATGACTACAACTGAATGGCTACATTTATAGTTCACAGTGTGCTTTAATTTAATCACAAACATTCTAATAATAAAGCCAGACACTAAAGCATACATGAAATATGAACTGATTTATATATATTTAAAAAATGGGCAAATCTAAACTATGTTTTGGGAGGCATCCTTACAAAGTAAAGAAAGCAAAAAAAAGATAGTTGTCAGTTTAAGAGAGAAAAGCTGGGCGAGGGCATACTGTTGGGTCAGGCACACTGGGGGCTTCAGTGCTCTTTCTTGATGTGGGTGTGGTCACTACCTGGCTATTTACTTTATAATAGTTAATCTTCAGCTTTATGTTTTATGTTCTTTTCTGTATGTGTGTATTACATCTTACAATAAAAACAAAATGTAGAAGCTATATCTGCTCTCCTCACCCTTGAAACCAAGGGAATGAATGACGACCTAAGCAGACAAGCTGTCCTATTCTCTCCATCTGAATAAAATGGAAATGATATACCTGAAGCAAGGGCTGCTTGTAAGTTAATAATAAATGCTTTTGCTACTCCCTGATTCCTGAGCAATCTTCTTAGTTTAATTCTACTTCAGTGACAGATAGGAGAGAATGATGCCTCCAAACTTGGGAACCCTGCTCTTGAAACTCCATGTTGATTTCAGACATAAGGAAATTTTAAAGCTCTCCAAAATTATTAGACTTTGTTTGTTTTTTGGTTTTGGTCATATTTGGGATACTGTCCTGTCTTCCTTAAATCCCACAAGCTAAACAAATGATGAGACATAAAGAAGAACTGGCTAGCTGCCCTCATCACTGTAACAATCAAATGGCACATAATGCTTCTTTCCATTCTAGGGAGTTCTAATGAAGTCATCTTAATTGTCTTTTGTCTTTCCTTATATGCTAAATTCCCTTTCCTGTAATGCACATGACCAATGTTTTAATGTCTTGTTTTTAACACCTCAGTAGCTGTTACTTTGTTCTGTTTCCTACTACTACATCTTAACCCTTCTTGTCAGACCCAGTAAGGGTTATGCTAGATCTATTGCTGATCTCTCTCAAGAGTTCATTCTGTTGTAGGGAATTTCTTGTGCCCCAAGCCAAAGTACTGCAATCTCATTTGGCAGCAAGATTTTATATCTAGTCACAGTCCTGAAGAGTTTGAACTTACTATACTCTCTCATTCCGCCTTCATGTCTTTGCTAAACTCCACCTCCTTAGTGGTAAATTCCCTCACCAAACTACCTAAAAGTACAAACTACCACCCTTACTAGGCACTTACTATTCCCTTATTCTACTTGATTCTTTTCTACAGCACTTACTATTATCTGACTTTCAGTATTTTTATACTTTTTAATTATGTCTTCCTCCTAGGAGAATATAATTTCTGCCACAAAAAAGGATTTTCCTCTTTTAATTTTTCATTTATGTATTTATAGCACAAAGAACTGTAATGGGCCCAAAGTAAACTGGTGATTGGGAAACACATTAAATTAATGAAACATTAGTTTCATGAGTAATTAATTTGAGGAATTAATGCCAGAAAAAGCCATCATTTTAAAAACAGCACCAATTTTGTTTTCAGCTCAAGCTTTAAAATACTCACTTTTAATGGATTTTATAAGAGATTTTGTGTTATACAAGTGTTGTTGACCTGAATATATTCACTTTGTGATTCTTGGTGTGCTTCTTGCTTTTGTTCTTAGGTTTAGACATTAAAGAACCCTTGGGACGTATAGATTTTTATCCAAATGGAGGGAAAAAGCAACCTGGCTGTCCTAAATCAATGTTTTCAGGTATACCAATTGTATTTTCAAATGAATTACATATGATTCAAAATGAGGAAAGAAAATCAGTTTACTTTTTTTCCCTCTTCATCTGTTAAGTAAGATTTTGATCACAATTGCTCATGATTCAGGAGAGTTATTGGTGAAAAATGGTTTAATTTGTTCCGTCTCAGTTCATAAAGGTTACCAGTAGATATCCCATTTGGTCTTGGAAGAAACATAGATTACATTATAGTTTCAAACGTTTTAGTTCACATTTTAAACAGAAGTTATATAAGTCATTAAAGATGCATGTGTAGCCAAAGTATCATATAACACAGTTTGCTCTTAGGATTTCATCTTTACCATCATGGTTGTATTGTACAAACAGATTTATAAACTCCTGCACTTGGTTGCTTTATACATAAATAGCTGAGTAACAGCTCTGGGTGTGGAATTTGGCTCACTTCAGAGCCATAGTGCAAAGTGTGAGGCTCCAGTGGCAGCAGGTCAAGTAATACATGGCTAAGGCCACGCAGCTAGAGAAGTTTGGTCAAAGCGATAAGGAGAAACTGGGAAAGGAAAGGGATGTGATAAAATTTTTTTTTTCAAGTGGACAAAGAAATTTTATTGATTTTTATTTTTGAATCTATGGTAAAAGATAATAAGCTTAAAAGACAGCAAAAGACCTTCTAATAGTAGACAAAAGTCTACTCAGAAAGCAGTTTGTTCCACTCTGCCAGAGTTTATTACTGACTCAACTGAGGGAATTAATGTGCTATTTAGAATATAGAACATCATGAACAGATGTCATGAAATAGCAGCTTCTTCATGTTTATCACCCAGCACATAGCTTTAATTCTAACAATAAAAATAACTGTTACCAACATGCATATGACCTCCAGTCAATCCTCTGAATAACTGATACAACTTTGACCCCTACTGAATACATATATGAGGGTTGTGATAAAGTTTTAATGTCACCTGGTTTCATAGTCATTTCTGACACTGAGAAGAAAGGAGAGATGGGTTATTAATTATTAAATTGGTAGCACTGTGTAGAGTTTGTTAAATTGCTGAAATTATTTTGCTGTATTAATTATTTAGGAAATTTTCTTACAAATCTTATGTAAAAGGCATACTAAATTTAAGTTTTGAATGGTACCGTTTTTTCAGCTGCTTGAGATAAAACTGCGTTGTAGTCAACACTTTAATGTTACTAAGTGCACAATGTTGAGAACTGAATCTTTAGTTTTCTCTAATTTACTTGAACTTGGGTTAATACATCTACAGTTCTTTTGCTTCATTTTAACACTTAAGGAATTGAATTTATTAAATGCAACCACCAGAGAGCAGTTTACTTGTTCATGGCAGCTTTGGAAACTGCAATTTTATTTCATTTCCTTGTTCTTCATACAAAGATTATAAAATTGGTTCATATGTGGATTGTGACGACTTTAAGAAAATATCTTGTCCTCGGCTAGGTAAGAGAGATTGTTGTAATTACTGTAATTCTTTGTGGAAAATGAATAACAATTGTGTTACTATTTTTTCCTGGAAGCTTTCATATTTACTTGTGAATATGTTAACATTTTATGGAAAGATTATTTGTGGGATAACCAGAGAAAATAGTTCATTTCCTACTAAATTTTTTTTAGGTATTTAGTGAGGAATTTGGCTATTTTTCTATGCTCAGTGTAGTAGGCATGTTTGGTGGTCTCATGATGATCCTTGTTCTTGATACACAAAAAGATCTCACTATTTATCTTCTGCAGAGACTAGCTCACAAACCAGCTGAACTTGAGAGGAGGGGATGAGGAGCTTAAAGAAAACACAGAGAAAGGTATAAGAAAGACACGGAAACCAAAACTGGGATCAGGAGGTTCACTGCTTTCTGATGGTGGACAAGTGATGCAGTTTATGTTCTGAGCACTACTTATATACACAAGCTTATGACTTCTGGACTGATCTCATACCCGGTATGTTACTTCCACTTCTGATGATCTCACTTCTGGTGATAATCACTTCCTGTAACCAGGTCTGGTGATGTCACTTCTGGGGTGACATCACATCTGGTCCTCCACATCTCCCCCTTCTTACTTTATTAAAAAATGTAGATGATAGATATAATAGAGATTATAGAAAGTAGAAAGTTTCTTAACACACCCCTTTCCTTAATTTCCTGTAATATATTAAACATAGTCCATCCCTTAATTCTCTGTAGGATAATTAGAAAAGATAGCCACTCCCTTAAGTTCCCATAGTGAAAGATTTCTGTAATTTCCCATAGTGTGAGAGAAAAGTGGGATTATGACCACAGCCTGGCTCTCCATCTGAGCTGAGCGTGGGCAGCAAAGCAGCCATAGGAGGAGGAGATCTCTCTCAGAGATGGTGAAGGTTCAGGCCTCTGCAAGTTAGTAGGGGTGAGGATCTGTGCTTCAACTCTGTTGGCCTCCAAGTTCTCTCCTGACGGCCCCTCTGCAACTGTGCCTGTCTTAGGTTGTTCCTCCCTTGAGGAATCTTACCTGTCTCTGCCTAACCAGTCATCCTCCAGGGCCAATCAGGGCAATGTGAGGTATGAGAGTGAGAAAAAGTGGCAGCATCCTTCCAGAGGGTTGGTTTTTTGTCTCCTTGGTAGTTTATGCCTCCATGGCCTCCACGCCCAACACCTGCTTTAGGGTTCCCTTGCCAGCCAGCAGGGCCCTAACTCAAGTAATATATTTTGGGGAACTCAGGCTTTTTTTTATAATGTAAGATATTCTTTCAGAAACAACAGGGTAAGGAGGTTCTAGAAAAAGTTTGGTTTGAGAAGGAAGGAGAAAGTTATAGCACCAGCAGATAGAAAAAAAAGAGTGAAAAGATTAGAAAATTTCAGGGGGTTGAAAACTTTTCCCTCTCATTTTTAAATTGAAGTTGTAGTTGGTGTAGGTTCAATTGGTCTGCGTAGCTTCTTTTCTTGAGGGCTTGCCAGCT